AACATTCATTAGGGATTTGTAATTTTTGAACTCGACTACCGTGAATACAGGAGTAACATTTGAGTAACATTTAGCTAATAGAACAGTCTGTACTTTTGTTAGTTTATGTGTAAAATCATTTAACCCGGTTGCTACTATTATAAGCATGTAAAAATATTATGTATAATAGCGGAAGTTTAGAAAACATTATTCAAGCAATCTTCCTCGCCAAAGAAAAATGATTGTAAAGTTTTCTAGGAAGTAATACCTCTTGGATGCAATCCACCCAGACATTGTTATTCACAATGTCATGACCATTACGTTGGCCAATAAAAACTCATCCTGAATATTTCTTTCCAGCCCTTTAAAATTATAACTTAAAATAAAGTACTTATAACTGCTTATACTTATAGCTTAAAAGTACTGTTTGGGGGCATTTTCAAATTAACCCCCAACCCCCAAATATGGGTTTCTAGGGGTAACTTAAAGTTTTTAAACAGCAACCCCTATCAAGTAGCACACCATTTTAAAGGCCTTTAGTGTAAAAGAATATTGGCGAAAACCAGAGGTATCTATCTCAACCCATTACAGAATGGCGGCCATTTCTTTTCGGCCTGAGAGAGCCAATGTAAAAATACACCAATATTCGCGTTTTTATGTGTTTTACGAGGGTAACTCAACTTATAATTATTGTAACAAGAAATTTAAAACGACTTTTTGATCAGTATAACAATTTTGCCCAGGACCCCTAGTGGGGGTACTTTGGGGGCAGCTCTAAATTTTTTAATATAAAGCCCCATCAAGTGACACCTTATATATTCATAAATATATTTCTTAACACAATTGCATCAATCATTTTTAATACAGTATGTTACACGAATTATTTCAAATAAACTTCAATAATGTTTTACATGTGTTATATCTTGTATCTAACTAATATTGTAAATCGGAAATGGTTCACTTTTTGATAATTTTTCTCAAATATACGAGACGAGTCTTTTTTTACTTTAGTAGCACAGTGGAATTTATTAAGAGCGTACTACTATGCTCATGTTTACTATTACTATTTCTTGCTATTACTAACCAAGCACGAAGATAAAGATAAACCCGCCTTCCTTAATCAGGAATGGCTATATTCGAGTATAAAGGTATTTCGTCATTCAAATCAAATTTTAAATTACATGCCTATTGATTAATCATTTAGATCACAAACTGCTTGGTTTTGTGGTATTTACCAACGAAGCTAATACTGTAACCTGAAGTATGAAGATATGTGGTGAAATGACAGCACGGTTTGTATTATTCTGCTCCTCTTATTTTCAGTCCAAATTTATCTTTTATTTTATTTACATGCTTCTTCAATACAGCTTAGACACATTGAAGCAGTTCATGCACTTATATTATCGCTTTAGGTTTCTTCTTGTCTTTTCACTTCAATGCTTGAAGACGATATCCGTTCCTATATAAATAACGCAAACACTGAAATTGTATTATTGTCTTACATCTGCCAGAGGAAAATCTAATAAATACCTCTTTAAAACAATGAATGGTAACATGGAAGGGGTTTGGTCATAAACGGGGTCTTGGACGTGTAAAGTTTGTTTTTTTGTAATATTTGAACAATTTTTATTAAGTATGTTTTTTTATGTTTCAAGATCATCAGCCTCAATGAACAATTTACGGTGTGAAATCATAAACATACTAACTTACTTGTACAATTACAAATACAGCTTACTTTATGATCGTAATTAATTTTAGTAGCAGCGTTTGCCACATTTACACAAATTATAATTGTGGACGGTTGGTTACGTAAAAGTATCAATACCCTTTTTTGATCTAAATTTCTTGTCTTATGATTTTCTCTTGGTTGACATGGAAATTTCACCAACCCCCCCCCCCCCCCCCCCAGTTACTTAAGAAATATCACACATAGACGATGTGAACTTGTAAAAGAAAAGAAAAATAACCAAATCTTTATGGAATAAACGTAAAACGTATAATTAGTATACCATATTGTTGAGGGCAAATTAAAATGCATTTCAACGCGTGATGTGCAGTTTGAAAAGGTTAATTAATTGGTGTCGCAATCTTTTAACCCCCAGTGACATTGAAGAGGATGTGGATACAATAAGTGATTTCGGTTATTTAATCACGCTCCTAACCGTACACGTTACACACCTAACCACCCCTCCCTAAAACAATCAATTTACCACCCTTTTTCCGGCAAACCCTCTCATCTCTCTGTAACAATTACTACAGTGCTTAACATTCAGCTTTGTCAATCTGCTCGAGTAGCCATTGACAATAAAGACAAGGGAATGTCAACTTGATGCAGACTGCAAAAGTCGACCCTAGAAGTATGTCAAAAGAGCTCTTTTCAAAAGTACTGTAGATTTATTTCTAAGATTCATCAAAAATGTTGTTTCGGAGTTCTGGCGTGGTGTATGGATGATACAATTAAAAAGCGAGGTATTCGTTACTTACAATTATCAATAAAGTTTCCATTTTTTCATTCTTATAAAAAATAGTACAATTTAATATTATTTTATGTGTTTTTATTGTAAACTTGTATTTATGTCACATAAACTTCATATAGGCCTAATTTGAATGGATATTTTCCTTAAGGGTACATAAGAATAACGTATTTTTTTATAACTGTATAAGACTGAACGAGCGTAACAGATTTATGGTGTAAAATCCGGATTAAATAAAACTAACCGATTTTGGAAACAAACTAAGGTACTATGTTATTAATTGACATGTTCTGTCAAAATTATAATTTTCCACTGTAATGTGCAATTTAGTACAATATCAGGATTCAATATTATGCTAGTAGGATATGAGGATTATACTGTATGATATTTATAACGGCAGGATTATTATTTGATTCAATACGATTAGTAAATCTTTAACACGTACACTAATAATTAATATTAGTGTACGTGTTAAAAATTTACTAATACACGTACACTAATACACGTACCTTAACACGTACACTAATATTAAATATTAGTGTACGTGTTAAGGTTTTCAAATGAATTTTATTTGAGGTGAAATTTTTGTTTCGCAAAACATGGATCTCCAAAAATCGTTTCCAATTAGAAACATGCTCTCATTTACCACAAACGAATTGGACGAATAGATAGTCCCGCCATAGGAATAATACGATATTATATATTTTTTTATTCTAGTACTTCTTAAACGTAAAATCTAAATTAAACGTAGGTTGCACTTCAGAGACAATTAAATTGTTAAATCACAGTGGCCAATTTTTTTTTTATTTTTTTACATGGTGATTGTATAAATATTTATTATAATACTTCTTTATTACTGTTAATTTAGTCTATGCATTACAGATTAGTATTGAACTTTGCATAAATATAATACAAGTGTTCATGGACCGCCCCAGGATGGAACCAAATTAGTTGTGATACAAGTCGCTGAATACAGACAGCTTAAGGGAGGAGTGCGCCCTTATTTATGTAAATTCACATAAGCCTAAAACAGAGGAGTATCTGTTTTACTTATTCTTTTGATAAATTTAAACCGTTACAAAAACAATTAAAACTATTTAATTTGTTTCTTTTCCTACTTTTAAAGTTATTGTTACTATGATTTCGCTTCAAGCGGCTGATATAAAACCAAAGTTAGTTTGTACTTATTACATCAAACTGTAAGACATTCCTAATTAATTGTTATTGCTATATTTATAACTAGCTGTAACCCGCGGGCTTTGCCCCGTTTAACTTCTTAATTTTCAAGATTACCTTGTTCGCATGGCTCAATCACGTCCTGGTTGAAGTTTGTTCGCTACGCTCACACACCTTTAGGTTGGAGCTCGTTCGCTGCGCTCACTTACCTTCAGGTTAGCTCGTTCGCTACGCTCACTCGCCTCCAAGTTGAAGCTTGTTCGCTACGCTCACTCACCTTTTGGTTGCAAATTAGCTGTTGTCATAAATGTAAAAGAAATAATAGTGCTGCACCCTGTTGGTAATCCTTGTAACTTTAATGCTATTGAACATCATAGAACAGAACCAACTTGTTTAATTGAAACAGCTGTTAAGATTCAATAATTCCATTTTTCATAAGGTTAACATGGGAAACTCCAGAGCCACTGGGGCGGAGCCCGAAAGGATTTTTGAAATAAGAATATGCCTATATGTTAATCGGGCATGTGAGCTACCATCATGCCAAATTTCAGCCCAATCCGACCAGTATTTTTCGCGTTCACTTGTCACAAACATCCAAACTTTCTCATTTATAATATTAGTAGGATCACACTACTTATTTGTACAGATTTGACTGATTTGTGTTAAGGAATAAATGAGTGAATGAAACCTAATTTATTTAAAAAACAAAATTATACTAGAAGAATATAAATTCATAAATAAAATGGAACCCATATGGGCTAGTGTCTGTAGTTGGGGATCGAGTCTATTATCCGCACAGTGAAAACAATAAGTTTTACATTAGATACTAAATGTATTCTAACACAAAATTTACTTAAAAAGAAATAAGTGATTTTGTAGGCATCAAGAAGAGGGAAAAAGGGCAGAATACAATAAAAATAGTATGAACGTATATATTATTTTTATCTGTTTAGTTTCATATTCATAAAAAGAACGATAACAATAAAGAAAATAATCAGTTTTATGTTAGGGAATAAAGGACTAATATAACCCTATTTTACACCACTTAAACATTAACTTCAATTTTCTGTTAATAAGTACTTAGATAATACACTTTCGTATTGAACAAAACAGATCAAACTACTCTCAAACTCAACTGCAAACTTATATTAAAATCAGCGTATATTAAGATGTAATCAATTCGTCCATTACCTGCTGCATCATGTGACGTGCCGCTGGGAGATAACAGGGTTAATTAATCACATAGCTAGCGTGATACAGTGCATTGAGCACATTAGGTGGCGTGGTAGTGGCACCACTGAGGGGTTGTATGTTGGCAGCACTGCTTGCCCGAGTGTGCCAGTCAGTAGTGTGCGTGATCGCGTCGATACTGCCAACCTTAGCGCGGTGAATGTTCACGACCCCAACACACGGTAAGGAAACAAGGAATAATAATTTTTAACTTACTACATTGAACAAAAATTATTTAAATAAACATATCTGAAAAATCGACTACAAAGAACTTTTGGCTTTTTATGTTGTAGAGTTTTAAATTTATTATTGTGACAACATTTTCTATATATTGTCCGTCAAATATTCATTTGTAAAATTAACTGAAGAAAGATAATGTCATAGGCTGTACATGAAATTTTAAATAGCTTTTCTTTGTTTAGTGGCATATCGCATTTTAAAAGCAGCATTATTCTGCACGTAAAGGAGAAAGTTAAAATATAAAACACAAAGTATAGTAAAATCATATAAACTAGTTTAATTTGTATTATTGCCGTACAGACGACACTGGACTATAATTAACTAAAATTACCTTATCAGTAAATTCGGGTGTATAAAAAGCATAATTCATCCAACGGCGTGCATTAAAAATTGACAAAATAATGTATTATAATAATTATTAATATTTAACTGAAATTAACTGAATTTAAAAACTGAATATTTAACTGAATGAAAAAGAAATATACAGATAAGATATATCCACGTATTTAACACTAATTGTACTAGCTGCGTAATAAAGATTTTTTTCCCTAAATAGATGTTATAGAAAGATAGTTGGTAGGCAGGTGGTAGGTAGGTAGATGTATTTTGAAAGTTTATATACTTGGCAATCAATATTGTTTTAGTTAGGCGTTTTCGGGTTTCTAACATGTGAATGGTTAGATAAAGGCAAACTGCGTCATCGTTTCTAAACAACAGGTCACCAAAACTAAGCTACCTATTATAATATTGCAATGTACAATGCACCTCCCTCAGCTAGATTACTTATATTAATAGCTAAAGCTAAAAGTCATCACATATTATTATGGGTTATTTTTGTAGCTTTTTTATATAGTATTTCGAACATATAAAGTCGTGTTAAACTATTTTACAAACAACTACTTAGCGCATTGTAAACATGTAGAATGATTGGTCAAATTTTAACCTTCCACACTATTTAATTTCTTTAGTGGATTTTGAACAACTTTGGACAGCAAATTCTCCAAAAAGTAGTTTTATTAAATAGCTTGTCGATTGCAGCATAAATTGATATTTTTTTCCATTTAAAAATATATTACAATTTGTTTTGTGGTCAAATTAAAAAATTCTATCCTGTTTGTCATAAAAAAACAAGAGCCAAGTTTAACCAAGTCGAACTCAGCTTACTGTCAAGCCATTATTGCGTGTTTACAAACAATGCCAAAGAAGCCAGACCTCAAAGAAGGGTATTTAATATTTTGAGAGACAAAATAGGACACTCAAACATTATGGAACTCTGTGTCTACTTATGGGTTTGCCTTTTAGCTAATTAATTTATAAAGATTTTTTTTTTTTTCAAAAAAACATAACAATTGTGTATAGAAATATTATAATAAAAACTTAACGAAATATATTTAAGGATTTTCGAAAATCCCAGAAAACTTGAGGTTATATTTTTCACGTGTGAATTTAAAAAAACTTGATAAAAATCATGCTTTTCAGTTGGACATTTTTCATTCGTACTTGGTGGGGTGTTTAAAAATCATTCATAATCAAATTGTTTGTTAACTATCATTTTCTAAAACCTAACCACGAACAAACTACTCTTAGATTACTTGGGGATTCTTATATTACTCTTGCATTTGCGTCCCAGATGCCATAATCTAAGTAGTCCAACCACATGTAACACGCATTTTATATAAACACACATTAGTTCTCTCAGATATCCATTATTATTTAATCAAGGGCTTATTTATTTTGCAAAACCAAACCCAGTATGATGAACTATTTGAATTATGATAAATTTGAAGTTGAGGACAGGTAATTTAAATACTCTAATGTTTTACTAACAAAATCTAATAATTCATTCTGTTGTTTACTAATAACTCTTAGATGTATACCTTTGTTGACTGAAAAAATTAAACCGAAATATTCCTTACTATTTTGTTTGAAAGTGTCATTGAGAAGGTCATCTACAAAAAAGGAGGGATTCAATATCATTAAATGATTGTGTTAGATTTCAGTGCGTTTAGATTTAGGGGCGTTTTTTTTTCTGCAACACTAAGAACAGCTAATTGGTTCACAAATGGTTAATTTTTAATCACCAATCCTGTGAGGCTATAAATAGCTTCCCAATTCTCTTTGTGCTACAACAGTGCATGTTTAACGGCTCGGCTAATGCCTGTGCAACGCGCTGGAAATTGTGTTTCCACCAACCTCTGTCATCATACCGACCAATGTGGAAACTTCCATGGTTGAAATGTTGCAATTATTTTGTGTGGCTTGTTTTCTAACACATTTATGATTTTTGTAAGAGAACGGTTGAAATCCTTGTTTTATATTACCTAACGTCAACATTTTATCAGATGGAATTATTAGGTAGCTCTTTAAAAACCACACCTGGTTCTAGAATTGGTATATCTTGGAATCAAACCAGCAAAATTCAGGTTGGAAGGCGAGCACTTCACTCGGATACCCTGACAAAATATTTTGCTATTGGACTTTCCCATGGAAAAAGACTATTTGATATTATGTAGTTTTTCCTATAATGGATTTTTCATTGAGGGTCCGTTGGTTAAAGGGGTTTTGTAGAGTATTTAACAAACTTGAGGGTTAGTAAAGTAAACTAAAATAAAGTATAAGTAATCCTCACTTCATGTTGTAGTTGTTTTTCTAGGCCACTTTATGCAAATTAAAAAAAAGGTTACAGTACCTGCAGACTGCCTATAGTGGTCCATAAATTGGTCATCCAACAGGATTACGTGTTTCGGTATTGATATACCAACTTTAATCCATTTTTTACAATGCCTGAATTTTTTCACACAAAATGCCACGTCACGGTTTGTAAACACAGTCACAAAACATTGAATCTCTGGTTTTCAATTCGTAGGCCTACTGTATATAGGTTATTCATGATTCAACGTTTTGTGATCGTGATTAAAAACCAATATGTGACATTATGTGTTGAAAAATTCAAGTTTTGCTAATAAAGGATCTGGAGATGGTATAGTAATACCAAAACGCGTAATCCTGTTGGATGATCAAGGGCCACTTTAGGCAGTCTGGAGGTATTGTAAAATGTTTTTTAATCCTCACTTATACTCAAACTTGCATTTAATTGACTATGTAATGAAGTTATCTATATTATGTTTACATATATAATATATCTTTTTTTACATCCTTCATGATGAATAAATCGTTGGTGAATAAATTGATCGTTGTGGTATGAATAAATAAATAAATACATGATGACAAAATTCAATCTTGAGAGGAATATATTTTTATTTAATTCTACCTACGATCTCAGATGTACAACAGTCCTATATTTTACGTTTTACACAGATTTATTTGATTTAAGTTGTATAAAGCCATATTCATGTACAATGGTAATGGTGATTCAGGTTGATCCACGAAGAGCTGTAACCAACCAGAAACAAAATTTGCGTCGCACAAAGACAGCACTAAAAGTTAGATTGGATAGAGCGTTAAGAGGTAACTCAAGTAAATTGTTGTTGGACTACGTGGGTTTGTCTCTAGATTTGTGGAGTTTGAGTGATGCCACAGATAACTACAGCTAGACCTGGCTAGCTTTAAACATATTTAAAGAGTACTTATACATTTGTATATGTTATTTTTAGTAGATACACTATAGTGTACTGACCAAAACAACGTACTACAAATCCTCATGTATGAACAAAATTTATTTTTCCAAAAAATGTTTGGATACATTGAAATAGTACACAATAACATTTTCAACGTATACTATGTACTTAAATAAAACATTGATCCAGTAACAGCTAACATTAAAACGCTAAGTTAGTATGGTTCAATTCAGAGACCCCTCCCCAAAAGGTTGGTCGAAGCACAAATGAAACTAGGAAAATAAAGCGAGAATCAACAAATGATTTGTTGAAATTACTAATATCTTTGTCTTTTAATGTTAATAAAACTAATTATGCAAATGGAGATATAAGAAATGCCCCCACCGCAGCATACCTCTCGTCTAAACGAATTTCCATTTGTTTGAATTGATTTTCAATTCAATTCAAGTAACATTAGGTTTAATTTACCTAGGTTTGCTGCTTCCAAGAAACTAATAAAGTGTGTTTTTATAGTAAAATATTAATAGTTTAGTATAAGATAAATAATGTTGCTAGGTTTGATCAAAATATACCAATCAACAAGCAAAGTACAACATTTTACAATATTAAAAATAGGTAATTACCTTCGTCTACAGCTCAATCTGATGTTATAACTCAATAACTTGAGTTACGGCCGTTTCGGCATTATAATGCCATCGTCAGACGTTAATTAATTAATATTAATTATTTATAATTAACGTAATTAATCAACGTAATTATACGTATTATTATTATACATATTATTAACGTATTAACGTAATTAATATCACAAGTCAGGGGCTAAAAATGGATTTTAATTTTACAATATTCTCAATGAGAATTACATGTGAATTTTAAATTTAAACTTTTTTGAATTTCCTCCGTTAACAATAACCATACCAAAATACTTTGATATACTTAATTATTTGGGTTTTTTTTTCATCTCTTTAAATAGGTCTAGAAAGAAATTGGGAAATTTTGTGTGTTGAGGGTAAAAAATTAGACAAGATAATTTTTACCCTATTAACCTCCCCCCCTCCCCCATAAAACCCCGTTACCACGGTCCGATCATGCTTGTTAGTAAACTCATTCAATTTTATTCCACCTTACGCCTTTAAACCAAATTTCATCAAAATCGGACAACAATTACTCAAGGTATTGCGTTCATGGATACATATATAACTTATAAACAAAACATCCTTATATATAATACGTGAAGGCGATTTCTTGAAAACACTACTCCTCCGTTAATAATGGACGGATTTTTACAAACGACGTGTCAAAATAAAATATTTTTTGTGTAGACACCCCCTTTCACCAATTCATGTAGTAAAAATCCTCGGGCT